ATCAGGTCTGTGTTACAAGCTCTTGAACGAGTCAAGGTATTCCTAACACATTGTAGATTTGCTTCAAACAGTAAGGTGGTGCATATGTTTGTGCACCTATGCTTGAAAAACAATGTTAATTTTAGAAGAAAACCAATCTAAGTCCAAAGTGACATCCCTCTGTGGAGCAAGACCTTCAGACTATGCACAGATGTTCTCATGTAAGTGAGAAGATTGTTCTCCTGCTTGTGGAAGATTGACTTAAAAGGGTTTGCTTAAACCAGATGAGTCTCCCTGATGTGATTTAAACAATGCATATACAAACAGCTCTCCAAGGGCAGGAACCTCCAAGCAAAGGGATGATGGAGAGCAGCTGGAGGAGATAAGCTGTCCCGCTAATATAGCTGAATCTACAACAGACTAGGTCAAAAGCCTAGATGACATGTCCTTTGAAATCAAAAGGCATTTCTCTCTGGAGTCCAAGGCAAAAAATACAACCTGAGACAAACTGTCCTCTTAATAATATCGTTACTAGCATCAAACACATATAATGTTGTGGTTTAAAACACATATGAAAAATTATTTGTTTTCCCTGGATAAAAAATGGCTTTTTGGTAGGACTTGCGAAGCATATGGAAGCTATATGGAATAAGCAATATTGCCATCTACTGGTGACACAGCTAATACCTACAGGTTACTGCAAAACTTAAAATATTTGTGTCAGAAGAAGAATAAAAAAATAGATGTATCATATTTTCATTGCATAGCATTTGTTTCTGTATGCAAACATTAAGACGTATTTTTGCTAACAGTTCGTGCTCAAAGCTTCTGCCATTTAACAAACTTTTACATAAAGGACATTTATTTATTTTTTTACAACATAAAGGCAAATTTTCATTTTAGATTTAGTTTAGATCACCTTCAGTTACTAGGACAACTGACACCCACCAGAAAATGGGACGCTGATTTTGGCATTACTAGTGCAATTCCTGTAGCACCGTACTTTTGCCAAAAGCCCTGAAAATGCTCTGTAGGGACACGATAGCCTTTGGGCCAATACTTTAGCTTTCAGTAATTTCTCAGAAGACATAACAGCCCTTCCAAAATGCTGTTGATCAACTTCTCTCCCACAGAATCTAACCCGAGTTGCTTGTTCATCCAGCCTCTACTGAATTATCTCCAGCTTTATCAGGTCACTAATAACAGAGTAGGAATCCATTGTCAGTTGTGCAACAATAAAGTAAGAACAATGAAAAATGTGCAAAATAATCATTGCAGCATATAGTATTCCTTCTCTGAAGCACAAATGCTCACTGAGATATCTGTTTGATATTCTGCGTGGCTGCTGGCAGCTACATGACACGATAGCTGGCAAATTCACATAACACCATGAACTAAGGAATGCATTGGATCTCCTATAACACAAACCGGCACCCTCTGTTGCTTCTTATGCGTGCAGAATCCCACATGCATCAAGTGCTCCTCTGGAACATCATCACCCAGTGGGTGCTGTGGGCCTCTAACTGTTTTTAGTGGCATTACTTAAAACTGAGAACATTTAATCTAAGAATGGTTCAGGAACTTTAAAGACAGTTACTATTAAAATAAAGCTGGCTACAATGCTAAAATTGCTTTATGTTTCAAGTTTAATTCATAATCTTTTAATTGATGCTTGACTACAGAATCTTAAATTACTTTAGGTTTAATGTACCTATTGCATTCTTCCTGTGGACGTTTACAATCTCATGCTGAAACTGCAGTCAGGACAACTGAGAGGTAATGGTGCGACGCTCACACCAAAGATACTAGGTACCACGCACGTACTCAGAATATGTAACACTATGTACACAATATATTCTTGATGGAAAATGCTCCAAGAAATGAGAAAAATGGGCTGCAAGATAAGTGGCCTTCTGAAGAAAAGATAAATTTGTGTCAAGGTTATTGTAAGCACTTTTAAAACCATAATTCTGATTAACATAAACACTTAAGCATGCATGGATCTATAATCAGGATAACTCATGCCTAACACTAAGCATATGCTTAAAAGGCCACTGCAGATTAATGCTTTTTTATTGCTTCTTAAGCACACGTTACTTGCTGTCCACATAAGGAATACTTCACAGAATAGGGCTGGCACCAGACCAGACTGAATGCTTCCAAGTATTATTCTTCAGCTTTTGCT